TTTGCTCACCTCTAGGCAGGCATCCCTGATGGGTGCAGCACACAAGAAGCAGGAAATCAACCTCCCATCACCCACAGAGGCAGTAAAATCATGTTATAGAAGAATATGTAGGATCTGTAATTCAGAAAGATGGAATAGACATACTTTTCCTTTCTTCTGATGCTGCTAGAGCAGAATAAATAGTGTGAACACTCTTCTTCCACTAACTATAACCAAAAACCTGAATATTATCTATCTATCTATCTATCTATCTATCTATGACATGAGAAGACTCTGAAAGGTGGAGAAAAGAAGTCATACTGGATAGGGATCTTGGGAGCCAAGGAATGGCATGGTGGTGAATTCTCTGGGGTTCCTATTTGTTTCATACATCCCAGACATGGGGCAAAAGAAAGCAACAGCCTGGAAGGGCACAAATTTTTTCAAAAACCCTGCAGAAGTCTAACTCTCTGGAGAGAAATATTCAAGAACAGGGCAGTCTAGAAAGACAAAACTCAGATACAGAAACCACTCTATTCTAGCCAAACATTACAAAGAACACTGAGGTCCCACCCCCACCTACTCCAACAAAACCTGAGCAGGAAGCCTAGATTCACCAGCCTATAATGAGGCACCTCAACTGCCCCCTTCCTCTGGCAACTGGGTGATGGCAGGGAAGGCCAAAGCAGAAGCTGGGACTTTCATCCCCACAAATAGAAAATTGTCCCAGGTCCATCCAACATCAGTGGATACCACATGGGGATCCCTGACTCCCACCCCCACCTGGCAATAATAGAGTGGCACCCAATCCTTTCCCCTGCTAGGGCAATGTCAGAAGAGGACAGCTAAAACAGAAGACGTAAACAAGATCATAACATAACATAGTACCCAAAATGTCCAGGTTTTGATAAAAAATCACTTAGCAGACCAAGAATAAGGAAGATCTCAAGCTGAATGAATAAAGACAATTAAGAGATGTCAACCTAAAGTGACAAAGATGTTAGAATTATCTGATGAATATTTTAAAGCAGCCATGATAAAAATGCTTCAAGAGCAATTAAGAACATGCTAAGCAGATGAAAAAAATAGAAATCTCAGAAAAGAAATACATATCAAGAAGAACCAAGTGGAAGGTTTAGAATTGATAAATACAATAACCAAAGTAAAAAAAAAAAAAAACTCAAAGGACGAGATTAACAGCAGGATATAGGGACTAGAGAAGACTGTGAACTATAAGATATAATAACAGAAATTACCCAACCTGAAAAACAGAGAGGAGAGAGAGACAGAGAGAGAGAGAAAGGAAAGAAGGAGAAAGAAAGAAAGAAAGAAAGAAAGAAAGAAAGAAAGAAAGAAAGTTGGAGGGAGGAAGGAAGGAAGGAAGGAAGGAAGGAAAGAAGGAAGGAAGGAAGGAAGAAAGAAAGAGGGAAGGAAGGGAGGGAGGAAGGAAGGAAATGGGCATCAGGGACCTGAGGAACTATAACAAAAGATCTTACATTCATGTCATTGGAGTTTTGTGAGAGAAGAAAAAGGACTGGCTAAAAAAGTACTCAAATAAGAACTAAAAATTCCCCCAATTTAGCAAAGGATATAAATCTAAATATTCAAGAAGGTGACAAATCCAAACAGAATACATCAAAAAAATATACACCAAGATATATCATAGTCAGAATTCTGGAAACTGAGGATGAATTAAAATTATGAAAGCAGGAAAAGAGAAACAACACTTTACCTATAAAGGAAACAATTTCAAAGGGAAGCTGATGCCTTGTCAGAAACCACGGAAGCTAGAAGAGACTGGCACAATTTTTTTTCAAGTGCTTGAAAGCAAAAAACTGTCAGCACAGTTTCCTATACCCAGCAAAAATACCCTTCAGGAATGAAGGGGAAATCATAACATTCTTAGATGATTGAAAACTAAAAGGATTTGTTACCAGCAGACCTAATTCAAAAGCATGGCTAATGGAAGTTCTCTAAGTAGAAAGTAAAGTATAATAATAGAAATCTTGGAACATCAGGAAAGAGGAGAAAGAACATGGTAATAAAAATTATGAGGAAATACAATAGACTTTCTTTCTCCTCTTGAATTTTCTAAATTATGTTTGATCATTGAAGCAAAAATTATAACACTCATGTGGTTCTAAATGTATTTAGAGGAAATATTTAAGAAACTATATTATGAAGGAGGGAGAGAAAAGGAATATAAAGAGCTAAGGTGTCTTCACTTGAACCGGTCAAATGATGACAGCAGTGGACTGTTGTAAGTTACGTATGTATCATACCTAGAGCAACCACTAAAAAAGGTATACAAAGACATATACTCTAAAACACTATACATATATCAAAATGGGCTCTTAAAAAATGTTCAAGCAGCCACAGGAAGGCAGGAAAACAGAGAGAAGTGAGAAGCACAGAGAACAAAAAAATACAATGACAGACCTATGCCTTAACAGATTAATAATTCCATTAAATATAATCTAAATACACCAGTTAAAAGACAGAGATTGTCAGGGTTTATTAAAAAACATTAGCCAACTATACGCTATCTACAAAAAAAAAAAAAACCTTACCTCAAGTATAATAATATATCCAAGTTAAAAGTAAAAGGATGGAGAAATATACATCATGCAAATATTAATCAAAGGAAAATAGAAGTGGCTATATTAACATCAGATTAAGTCGTCTTTAGAGCAAAAAAAAAAAATTGTGAAACATAAAGATAATGTAAAAGGGCCAATCCTGCAAGAAGACACAGCAATGCTAATGTGTATGCACAAAATGGAAGAGCTACAGAATATGTGAAGAAAAAATTGATAGAACCAAAAGAAGAAATAGACAAATCCACAATTAAAGTTAGAGATGTCAGTATTCCTCTCTCAACACTTGTTAGAACCACGAGAGAAAAAATCATCAAGGATATAAAAGAACTCGCCAACACCATCAACCAACAGGATCTAATTGGCATTTATAGAATACTCTACCCAACAAATGCAGAATATTCTCTCCACATTAATAGTCTCAAAACAACACCTGGCACATATTAAGTGCTGGATAAATGCTGCAAGATCAACATACATAAGGAAATTGAGACACAGAGAGGTTAAGTTACTTGGACAAGACCACACAGCTGGAAACTGAGAATGGAAGCCAGGCAGCTCCACTGTAGAGCCCACACTCTTACCTACTATTGCCTGAAATCTTTTTAAAACAACTCAACCCTGCGATTTTTATTCAAAAGGCTTGGGGTAGAGCCTGAGCTTATAGAGTTTCTTAAGCTTCTTCATACTTTCTTTTCTTCAGAGACTGAATCCACACTCAAGGTCCCCACCTTTTAAGGGCACAGCATGATATGATTTCAACTCACATTCCGTTGTGCACAAGTTTGCTTCATAGCCACAGTTTTCTGCAAAGGAGGCTTGAAAATGTAGTCTATATGTATGGCCATGTGCTCATCTGTAATTTCTATTTCTGTAGGAGAAGAGGGGAGAGGGTAGGAGGGGACAACTGGCAGGCTCAGGCACGTTCTGTCTGCTAGATAAACACTCTTGCCCCTTTATCAGTCTACTGTTTTATGCTGAGGGATGGAGTCCAAATTGCTGGAGCTAACAAAGTGGCAGGATGAGCCACCATCCTGGTTTGCCTGGGACATAGTGGGTTCTTAGGACATGGGATGCTCAGTTTTAAAACCAGAATATCCCAGGAAAACAGAGCAAGTTGGTCACTCTACCCAGAAAGGTCCTCATCAACCTCTCCTGCCACACCTCCTCCCAGCTGCCCCAGATTGCACTTCTGGGAAAGAGACCAAAGGGCCAAGCTCTTGTCAAGCTCCTTCAATCCTTCAACCAATATTTATTGACCACCTACTATGTGCCGGGTACTGCTCCCATCGCCGGAAGATAGCACTTCTGTCTAAAACACTCCCTTAATTCCTCCTTAACATTTAGGTTTGAGGGTTCAGCTTGAGGACTCTTCATCAAGGAAGTTCCCCCCATCCCGCTAATCTGGCCCCTTGCTCCTGATAGGGACTTCCCCTAGATAACACTTACATCCCTGACTCTGCACATTCTCTTGCCTGCCTTCCCCATACATAGGTCCTGGTCATCTTTTTGCATCAGTATCAAGGACAGGATGTAGCACATAGTAGGTGCTCAATAAATGTCGAATGAATGAATGCTGCCTCTCTAGACACCTAGTGCCTGCTCAAACGAGGAGCTATGCCCATCCCCTGCCTGGCCATGTTCCCTCCTCTCAGCGCTCCCAACAGACCTCATGACAGGGAACTGATGAGACTGTCCTCCCAATCCCACTCCACTGGACTCCACGCGTGCTGTGCTGGGAACAACATTCTGGTGGCAGAGTGCCCTTGTGACCTGAGCCCCCAGGCTGCGGCTTCCCACTCTACACCTTCTGGCCGTTACCTGATAATAATTCTTATAACAATAACGATAATAATACTATTATTCCTTAATTGGGCAATAATGACACCTGCTTGGCTGCCAAGCAAGGCTCGCGGACCTGAAGTTAATTGTTTTAAAAACGGAAGCTGGGCTTCTTCAAAGAGGAGGGGAAGGAAGTGTCATTTTTGCCCACCTTCCAAAGCTAAATAGAAATAACACATGCTTCCGCCAGCAGAGGTAACCGAGCGTCCCTCTCTGACCCTTCCCCAGCCTGGGCTCAGGGCAGCCGTGCCCAGACTGGGCAACGCTAAGGAAAACTAGTCCTTTTTTTCTCTGTCTTTCTCAATGGTAGGGCAACCTCCCCACTTTGCCCTTTGGTCCAGAGGTCCAGAGGGAAAGTTCGGAGGAGGTAGGGACTCCAGCATACAGGGCTGGGGCCTGTACTATCACATGCACTCTGGTGAAACACTCTAACCAGACACCCCCCTTCCCCACCACTGACAAAGCTCAGGTTGTGTTTCAGGAAGAAGTGAGTTAAATAATTGCCCAGCATCCAGATGGTAAGGCTGACACGGGTCACTGCTGATGGACGCTCACTCATTCTCTCTCCTCTGAGTCACCCACCTACTCTCCTCGCCCTCCAACAGCTTGTGGTAGGTGGAGAGCTCCACATCCAAGGCCAGCTTGGCCCCCAGCAGCCTGGTAGTCACACAGCAGCCGGGCCAGGTCCTCCTTGGCCTGCTGCAGGGCGGCCTCCACCTCGGCCAGCTTGTCCTGGGTATGTTTGAGGGCCACCTCACCCTTTTGTTCTGCCCCCAGGAAGGTGTTTGCAGGGCAGCACTCTGCCAGGACCCATCAGCAGACAGTAAGTGGGACACGGAAGACCAGATACCTACCTCCTTGCTGGGCTTCTCTTTTGTCCACTTTCATAATTTATTATGGAAGATGTGCAAATATAGAAAAATAAAGAAATAAGACAATCTATCTTAACCCGACCCCCTCAAAAGCTACCACTGCCACGCTGGTGTCCCACCTGTTTCTTGAGGTTGGTGATTTCTGCTTGAAGTCTCTGGATGGCTGGGTTGACCTCCACCTTAATCACTTTGAGGTCATCACCCTTTCTCCCGGCAGCTGCCTGGAGCCCCTGACCCTAAAACCAGGAAAAGGCAGGAGTGAAAGGTAGCACAGGGAGAACCAAACCCAGGGCAATTCACCCCAGACCTCAAAGCTTCACCCAACCAGGACTCCTGTGCCCTGCTCCGTCTGGTCATTGTGGACGAAATCAACCCATAGAGGAGACATGTTCCTGTCTGCTGGTAATGCAGGGTCTAGCTGAGGAAAGAACATTCCTACCACCATAGATATGCAACTGCCAAAGATCACAGAGCCAAATCCTGGACAGGAACACATCTCTGGTCTGTCCTTCCCAGCCAGACTCTGATAGGGGAGTTGCAACAGGCAACCCACAATAGGAAGAAGGCAGCAACTATTTCATGTGTGGACCTGGAATTATTACTGATGTTAAGGAACTGCCTTCAACTATGTTCCACTAAGGGAGGTAGTCGGAAGATCAGGCTCCCTGAAGATGTGCTCCCACAAACATGTGGCAGGAAAGGCAGTGGGAGCATGTGCTGGTAGAAAGAAACCAGCCTGGGTGAGACACGGGCTACAACGATGCATGGATTGAAGAGCTGGCTGTGCAAGTTTGAAAGCCTTGGTGTCTCTAAAGCATCTGGGTCTGCAATGTTGGGTCAGCTCCCCCAACATAGGAATGGTAAGACCCCAGGAAGCCTAGAAACTTCCAGTGATGGCTGAGTCAGAGATTTCATGGGCTCCTTCCCCACTAATCTCCAGGACAGGACATATGAAGGCAAGTGGCCCTACCAACCACCAGGCCAATGGAGCAGGTCAATCTCTATTGTCAGGGATGAGGATCCTACATGCTCTCTGGGCATAACCCAGCACAGGACAGTTCTCCAGGTGGGCATCTTGGTCTGGTACAGTGCTGGGCCTTGACATCAGAGAGGATGCTGTCCAAGTCCAGGTGCTGGTTATTGTCACCACATTGGTACCATTAGACTGTCTGCTGTTCCTGGGCCAGTTCCTGTCCAGCAGAACAGGGATCAGTCCTCTGGAAAATCTCAGTACCCACATTAAGAGGTTCCCTGAGTGCCCTCGCCAGCAGCCATGTCCTCAGGGGAAGACCAGGGGAACTTTTCTCTCTTTCTAAGTTTTCCAACTATCCCAGGGGCTCCCAGGGAGCTCAGACCCCAAACTCATAGCAGCATAGAAGACTTGGAGGAATTCAGTTTCCTGCTGCAGGATGTCCACTTTGGCATTGAGGTCCACTCTGACCAAGCAGCCACTGTCCACATCCTGAAAGAAAGGAAGCAATGGGTCCAGTGGCCTCAAGATGCCAGAGGGAAAGTGACATTGACAGGGCAGGCACTGGGGGAGACTAACGAAGTGGAGACAATGCCAGGTGGATTTGATATCCTATGAAATTGAAAAACAAGACTTTGGAGCCAGAAATCAGGGTTGCCTTCATTCTTACTACTTCTGACAGTCTTGCCTGAAGCCCAGTGCTGACTTGGAGGTCATTTGCATTGGCCAGGGATGCTTCACAGCTGAGGAAAGTGAGCCCAGTACAGACAAGGTTGGAGAGCATAATGTTGCAAGAGCCCTGTCCCTCAAGACCTGAGGGACAAAGCCAGCTGCCTCTCACCTTCTTCAGCACCATGGAGTCACCCTCAGCCTTTGTCCTGCTGTTGACCTCTGCTTCACATCTGGCAGGAGTCTATAGAAGAGGAGACTGTTAGTCTCAAGACATTCCCTTTTCTCTGCTTTCCTACACTCTGAACCCACATCCACAAACAGATTCACAAGTTCCTGGAAGGAGAGGCCAATTCTATGCCCTAGCACTGCTCTCACACCAGACCTGGGATCCACACGCATTTTGGCCCAACACCAAGTGTCCCACCTTCCCCCCACCACTCACTTCTCATATTCTTCCATGGAACCCTGGGTGACCCTCAGCTCTGCTTCCTGCCTCATCTTCTCTGCTGTGAACTTGTCCACCTTGACTTAGCCCTCAAAGTTGGGCTCCAGGCTGGAGGTGCTGTAGCGGCACCCACCTGGTCTCCAGAATCTTGGTTTCACTGCTCAAGGAACCGCACCTGAAAACAGTGAGTCCAAGGGCTCAGCTCCACAGGACAGCCACAGTGGGCTTGGGCTTGGTGAGAGTGACAAGTGACTCCAGTTTGGTGTTAATCCCAACATGCTATGCTAGAGATTAGTTCACCCCATTATTTGTAGAGATTTCTGGTATGTTTACATAGAGGCCCAGGTTTCCTGATGTAGGATAAGGACTGAGCCTTTGGATGTTTACCAAGTTCCCTAGTTGATTCTTGTTTGCACCAAAGTTTGAGAACCACTGGCCTGCATCATTTGGAAGAGATGTCAGGAAAAGACTCATCAATGAGCCAGCAAAATAACTCACTTTCGGGAATATTTCCTTTTTCCCATGATTCTGTCTGTATTCCTGACATTGCAAGTGACAGCCACAATAAGTAGCAAAAGAGAAAAATTTCGCTGATAATCAGTATCTTGAATTTGAGCACCTTCTTGGTAAAGCTCACGAGACACTGTCTCCCTGCAGCAAACCTCCTCCCCTATTCATCCCTCAGTTTCTGCCCCTACCTCTCATCCCAGCAGCCCTTATCAGGCAATGAAGGAAGAACATAGTTTAGTTTAATGTTTTCCAAGATGGAGGTTTAATCACGCAGGAGCCCCATACAACTTATCACCTTTTTTTTCAACTTCACAGAGGTATAATTGAGATATAATAAATGGTAATATATTTAAAGTGTACAACATGATGATTTGATTTATGTATACATTGTGAGAGGATTTCCCACATTTGAGTTAATGAACACATCCTTCACCTCACATGTTTTCTTTGTGTGTGTGTGTGTGTGAGAGAGAGAGAGAGAGAGAGAGAATGAGAGAGAGACTTAAGTTTCACCTTCTTAGCAAATTTCAATTACACGACATACACAGTGTTACCAACTACAATCATCAGGATAGAACATAGCTCCTTACTGCACCATCTACGCTGGTAAGGCAGCCTTAAATCCAGAGCTCTGGGCACATTCACCAGTTCTACTTTACTTCTTACTGGCTTCTTCTTATGTTTTCCCAGCTCCCAGTCTATGCAGTAGTGCTAATCCATAGTTGTTCCTCCCTAAGAAAGAGCACCCAGAGAAGGGTGGGGCCAGGCAGAACCACAGCATTCTTCCCAGACAATCCTGAGCGTCCCATTGGCACAAACCCAAGATGCAACCTCCCTGCCTGCCTCATCTTTCCCAGGGCTATTCACAATAAACCTCAATCCAAGGTTGCTCTAGGAGCGCACTGTTTGGTGCAGTTAGTATAAGAAGTCTGACCTCCTTTTGGTGCTAAGACGAGATGAGATCTGAAGGTCAGGATTCCTCTGGGCTACGAATATAGTTCACCACTTACAGCCTGGCCAACAGAATTTGAAAAACACCTGGTCAAATCATTTGCAATGGCCCTGTGCTCCTTTTCCAAGAGCCCATTAACTGGACAACATCTGATTTTTTGTGGTCTCCACTCACTGGCTTTCAGAGTGGAAATGCCGGTCTGCAGAGAAAGAAACTCCAAGACCCAAAATCACGTGGCAACTTATGGGGAAGAAACCATTTGCCAAAGTCAATGTGTCCACTTACAAGATATCCATTGACTATTTTTGACTTCTTTAAAACTGAACCTTGGGGCGCCTGGGTGGCGCAGTCGGTTAAGCATCGGACTTCAGCCAGGTCACGATCTCGCGGTCCATGAGTCCGAGCCCCGCGTCAGGCTCTGGGCTGATGGCTCAGAGCCTGGAGCCTGTTTCCGATTCTGTGTCTCCCTCTCTCTCTGCCCCTCTCCCGTTCATGCTCTGTCTCTCTCTGTCCCAAAAAATAAATAAATAAACGTTGAAAAAAAAATTAAAAAAAAAAATAAATAAAACTGAACCTGTCAGCCTGTTCTGATTCAGTATACATGCAGAACAGATTTGCTTTATTTCAGGGTAACACCATAAGGCCCTAGTTTGATGGGGTGGTGACAAGTAGCTGAAGGTCAGATCCAACCTCTTAGGGAGGCTTGGAGAACATGAAGAATAAAGTAAACACCTTCCTCCAGGGCCAATTAAAAGAGACAGAAACTGGGCTATCTGACCTCAGATAATCTAGACCAGCACAGTCCAATATGGTAGTCACTAGCCCATTTCTGTCCTAGGAGAAAGATCTTTCTGCAGATCCCTGAAGCTATCAAGGGCTGCTTGTCTGACCCCCCAGGCATGAGCACTCACCTTGTCAATGAAGGTAGTGAACTTGTCATTGACTTCCTTGATCTTCCCCTCTCCAGCTGCTCACCTCCTGGGCCTCAGGGGCAATTTGCACATCCAGTGATCCATTACAACTTCTTAGATGCTCCCAGGGCAGACTGTTGGACATAAAACCTCAGCCCCTCAAAACCACCACCAAAGCCAAACCCAACAACACCAAGGCTGCCCACCCCATAACGCCTATCCCCATAGCTCCCCAGACTGCGGCCATGGCCCAGACCTCCAGCTATACTGATGGAGATGCTCTTGCTCCCACCAAAGCTAACGAGATTCCAGCTACTGTAACCTTGCAGACTGGCATGGCCTTGGCAACAGCCACCACTCTTACAGATGGACAGTGAGCTTTCTGTCCCTCTCTAGCACCATCTTGGCAGGATGGCCAAGCCTCTGCCAAAGCTCCTGCTCTGACACTTCAAGGCATAGACCTGCCAGCTCATGGTGACACAAGGGACGTGAGTGGCACTGAAGAGGCAGGAAGAGGCTGCCTCAATGTTTCTCCACTAGGGTGCAGAGGGATCCCCTCATATATCTCCTCGAGTTGCCAGCTGGCCAAGGAAAAGTTCTTCGATTTGGTTCCCCTGAAGCTGAAAGTGACAAGAAAAAAACCGATACCCTCTACTTGGGGACAGTATGTCAGATAATTATCGCTTAGTGAGCAGGGGTTTCTTATTATTTAAGTATCAGCTATCTGTTGACCTATGCAATACAAGGGGTGTATGATTACATCCAAAAAGCTCTCAGATAAGGTGTTTTCTTAGACCATTGTGTTTCAACCTTTTAGTTTTTAGAAGAGTGGTATTGAAGCTCAAGGTACATCTTCTAGAGGTTTTAGACAGTGACACTGAATTAGAAACTGACCTGGGGCGCCTGGGTGGCGCAGTCGGTTAAGCGTCCGAC